AACTACCGCAATAAACATAGCTTCCTTCAAAAATACAATAATACCAAGTACCTCTATAGATCTGTCTATGGGGTTTTAGACTTAGCCTCCCAATCCCATGTCTGAATAAAAATATTGTTTAAAAAAACAGATCTGTTTTCACTGTTTTTAGTCTTATTGTTTAGAAATTGTCTTTAGTAATTGTTAACAGTTGACGGAAACATAGTTATCCTATGCCCGTCCATATTTTTGTTCCCGTTCAAATTTCTGTACTTGTATTTAATTCTTGTATATTGTATGCCGTCCTCAAAAAACGTTCCGCTGCAATAAAATTATCCCTCTTCTTCATACAATCGTACTAGTACTACGTACTGCCGTGGTGTGATCGTCTGATCAAATCTCCAAACAATCAACTTTTTCATCAATAATATATCATTTTATATTACTCGTGTTTCAAATATCACATTATTGTTATCTATGACATGTACATATGTTTATATTGTATGCTGTCCTCAGTGGATGTTTCGATACAATAAAATCTTAGCTTATCTTATCTTAAAGACCACATAAGGTGAAAAATCTTAATTGCGTGTACTTATAGCCGTTACTTTATCCATTTTACGGCAAGTTCAAACCAATCTGATTAAAATTAATTCAGCTATTAATGTCTGTAGAGTGACTTGTGAAGAACACAGGTTATTTTTTAACCCTATAAGGGTTAAGAAAGAGGGATTGTCTCAATATCTATAGCGTTTCTGCAATGTTTAAACAGGGTTTTATATCTTGTTAAAAAGGGGGTTGCCATCTCTACTATCTTTAGAATTAAGAACGATGTTGGACATTCATGTTTGATGTGACTCCCATTTTTGTGTCTTACTCATTGGTTTTAATCTTAAACCCCTAACCCTGAATTTATAGGTTTAATCTTAAATACCTGACCTTAACCCTAACCCTAAAATGTAAAAGTGATGGAATGTAAAAGTGATGGAAATAGAAAAGGGAGTCGGATCAAACATGATCGGCCGATGTTGCCTAATTTATAGCGTTAAGAATGAACGGTATCTGTTTTCTCAATAAGGTTGAAATTGAGATTGTCTCTTACTGTGTAGAATTGATGACTTGTGTATCTGTTATCTATGAGATTAAGAATGTGGGTTGTCTCTGATGTCTATAACGTTATAAATGGGTCGTATCTGTTCTCCCTGTAAAGGTAAGAATTGGGGTTGTCACTTATCTCTATAACGTTAAGAATTGATGGTATCTGTTTTCCGATGTTTTTTTCTCGTATATTTATATCGTTATAAACCAATGGCAATAGTTTCCTCATGTTCATCGCGGTGTTTCGTTTGATTATACCTAATCCCATTTACCACTGCTGGACTGGCTGATGATTCCTGTCCAGCGTAACACGTGAATCGGGATTAACCAGAGCTCTAAATATATAATATTAACGTAAAAGTGTACAGTGGCAATCGCGGTTACATTACGACACAGTGTGCGAAATTCCTTATGAACGATTAACCAGAGAATATAGTAGAAATTGCAGAAAAACTGATTCTGATAACGAACGAGGCTATCCAAAATGATGAAAACGCAACCATTGTCATAGAATCTGTTTGTTTTCTTTGGACCACACAGCAGACGAGCAATATAATCAAAGAGACGGACTGTCATGGTACGTATATGTTTCAACAAACTGGATAGAATGCAACTATGACTTCTTAATGGAACTCAGGAGAGTTTTGGTTGGAAGATAAAAATAGACACACTCCGTCAAAAACCCAAGTTTCGGTTCGAAGTGCAGTAATGGCTAAAGGTGGATTTCCCGGGCCATTGCTTCAGCAATATGGTGGGGGGGTGACCAAATGGTTAGCACGAGCGCTTTGTATCATAAGGCCTGTCATTTAGTCAACTATAGCGTGGTTTCGAATCCCCGGTTGTACGTGACAAGGAGTAGGGTCGCCTGTACAACCTCGTGAATTTTCAACGGGTCTTCCGGTTTCCTCCCACTGCTAAAGACCCCTATGCGCAAGCGAATTATTGAAATAAAATTAAACCATATGTTAGTCCCGAAATGACCTAGTTTGTGTCGAGTGGACGTTAAACCCCATTTCTCTCTCTCTCTCTCCCTCTCTCTCTCTCTCTCTCTCTCTCTCTGTGCTTCAGGGTTATTCCCCCGGACTACTGCATAATATGATGTGTACGGGGGCGTGTAATCTATATGATATATATTCTGAATAACAACCAGATTTTGAATTTAAACATTTAATGTACCATACAGAGATTTTAATAGGCTAAATTGAAATCGTGCGCCAGTGGCCTCGCATGACCGATTAATGGTGTCATATTTCAGTGGAGTGAAAATTTCCAGGGCCTGACGGATTACATTCAAAACAAATTCCACACGCAAATGATCAACATAATATTTTCAACAAACATTTTATGATTGAAAATAAAGTTAAATTTCTTGCTCTACCACACTGTTGTTAGAAGTATATCTGGATGATATCGTCGGTGTTGATGATATCCAAAAATAACTACATTATACAAGTCTACAGTTAAAAAAAACACGGTATAAAAACAATATTGTTACTGTATGTATTTAAATAACTTGTGTTAATAATGCATGCCGTGATAAATATCAGTACACCGAGAAAAGGTGGGAGAAAATTTCATGTTATCAAATTATCACGACTTGTTTAAACCATTTGTTTTAAAGTAACATGAAAGATAATTATAATAATATGGGCTGCACTTTTTATCTTTCGTTTCGTTCATTTATTATAGCCAGTCACGAAACTTAAGACGACCTTATAGTTAAATATTGAAACAAAGCTCTCATTGAGAAAACACGAATGTTTACACCGAAAAGAAACCCCACTTGAATAGAAGTATGCAAAGAAAAGACTGTTTAATGGAAACCGAAGTTACATTCCAAAGGCCAAACCCTCACGAAAACTGATCATTTAACACCTTACACCACGGCGAAATTTTCTGTAGATTTTTTTTTTCCACTCATGTTCTTGTTCTTTAAGCGATTTAAGGATTTTCCTTTTTAACTAAATTCTTGATATCTACTCCTGACTAAATCTGAGAAAAACGAAATTTAGCAATCGCAAAAGAAATGTGCTTTGTCGTTCGGATATGCGGCTAAAACCGATTCAATTCGTGTACAATGAAAGAAGACTTGATGGTTGGAGTTTAAAGAAGTGTCGGCGAAAACGCCACTGCTCTGGCTAAATTCTCCCCCGTAGCATGGCTAAATCTATTTGTTAAGGCCAGCTCAATTTTTGCCAAGGCCGCTGAGCTGTAAATAAGGTTAGGGGACGTGATTGTTGGCGAGATTGTAGTAGGGTTAGGGTAAGCATTGGGGCTAGATCCAGGGTTAGGGTTAGGGTTTGGGATTAGCGCTACCCCTGTTTACATCTCTTGACCTAGCTATGAGCTGGCCTTAGCATTTAACACTAACCCGGTAGCATGGTTTGTACCTTCCTCTTTGAATGAACGACGTTAAAGGACAATATTGACGCCAGTCATTATTATATATGTGATAGAACTGGTTAAAAACATTCCAAGTATTATTTTATCACATAGATCATTGCTACGATAGCTGTGGAATCAATGTTTCAACAATCGGAAGTGACGGTTTCTATTTTATTCGTGTTCTCTTATCTAATGACATTCAATTACTTTTTGGAATTGTCAGATATACTCTTACAGTCTCATATAACAACTTTTGGTCTTCGAAGCAATTATTAGTGAGAAGAAATTCGCCCATGTATCTGTTATCATTCGTAGCTTCAATCAGTTATATAGAGGGATAACTCGTGTTTTCCTTTTGTGTTCGTCATTTCCGATTGTTGAAGCATTGATTACGCCTCTATCGTAGCAATGATCTCTGTGATAAAATAGTATTTGGAATGTGTTTAACCAGTTCTATCACATATGTGATAATGACTGGCACCGATATTGTCCTTTAAACTTCATGTCTTCACTTTCATTCATTGAACCCGTCTTCATTAGCCCAGTATAGGAGCAGAACAGTAGGACGTTAAACCCCATTTCATTTCATTTCATTCATTGAAGTCGTGTGGTCTGGGTATACCGTGGTAGTCGTGCGGTCAGGATAATCTTGACCCGCAGCTTGGGTGTCCTAGATTTGAACCCATTTCTCACGTCTAGCTGCGTGTCTGAGAGATGACAAGGGAAGTACGTGTGTCTAGCCCGGGTACAGATATGTGGTGGATCAGTAAATGATCTGTTGTCTGTTGAACAAAATGACGGTATACTGCATGGGTTTTGCCAGTCAGAACCTAATTCAAAAGAACAGAAGACGAAGACGTAAAGACAAACTGCAACCTAAAACATTTTTAATCTGTGCAGATAAAAAGAACTCAGACTGCTTAGATATCTGATCGAGAAAATCTATGAAGACACACTGCGAAATAACCATTAACATTGCCATGAATCTAGCCCTTCGGTTCGGCGAGGATCATATAAAAGTCATTGTACTACAGGTCTTCAATTGACATGTATACATCGACAACACACACCACCCAGAAGTTAAAAATGCAACCGAACGAAGCCCAAATGGCCAGTTCGACCTTTGCTATGAATAACCGACACCAGAACAAGTTAATGCCAAATGCCACCTAATTATATTCCGGCCCATTTCGTTCCCACACAATTCTCTCTGAAAGTATAATATTACTAGTGCAGCTCCCAACACACGTTCGTATACCATAACATAATGGTGCTCAGAATAATATGCACAAAATGCAATGACTAGTACTAGATTATAACTAACTTCATATATAAAACACTATCCAAGGATATATATATTACATCATATGATAGGCCATAGGACAACCCACAACGAACACCTATTGTAATATGACACGATAAAGTTTAAATTGGTTATTATTGTGACCAAGTTTTATTGACATGTAGAAAACATCCCATGAGAGCAGGTTTACAGGTATTTATACATACACATACACCAAGTTAAAATTAGATTTACGATTGTCTCGAGACACTTGGGGAAGCGTTCTTCCCGCGCCAATCAACGTTACAGCCGTATGAACTCGCGTGTGTTGGATGTGCACCAAAAAGTATGATATACTGTAGAGTATATTGGTTACTGTAATATATGTACATATAGATATAGAGACCAACTTGTGTGTTTAGACACTATACGTGTTAAACAATTTTCGTAGGTATCCTTTGTCCGTGTGCAGTGCCTGTAGTTTTAGATTGTGTGGGATATAGTAAATGCTGATTCCATGGAAATTCCACGGATGGACAGTTTGGATATTAATCCAGAACCCACCACGGTGAGTCCTAATAATTAACTCAATAAATTGCTATATGTATATGAACATTCAAACTAACAGATTAGACGTACTAAAACTAATGAGTAAGCATGTATCTCCTTCACGCTGTCTTACCACATAACCCTTTCAAAGTTGTTGAAGGTAGAAACATGTCGATCCACATGAATGAGCTTCTTATTTTCCCAGACTAATGCCATCAAGAATAAACCAGAATGGATCTTAGCATCTGCCAAGAGCACAACTATTTTTTTAAAACCCATTAGTGTCGAATATGAAGGGTGGGAGGCGTAACTGATCGCCAGGGATAGCAGTGAACTTCTTGTTGGTCAAGAGCACAACTATTTTTTTAAAACCCATTAGTGTCGAATATGAAGGGTGGGAGGCGTAACTGATCGCCAGGGATAGCAGTGAACTTCTTGTTGGTTTGCATTCCAGAGACAGCGGATTTCATTTCAAACTGTATATAATCCAGTTTTACCGTATTTAACTAGAGGCATCGACACTAATTGATATATCGAGGACATAAATCTTCAAGTTCAATAAAAAAAAAAATAATGATTGACATTGCCTGATCTTAGAAGAAACCGGCAAACTACAAAGTACACAAGAAATAAGTAAACAGAAAAAATGGCAACTTCTTGTCACGTAATCCTTCATACAACAAACCTGTTTCAATTATACACGTCTTTATATATACAGACAAAAACATATTTTGTGGGGAGGTGTTTTTTTTCACGAACAAAATATAACAATAGAATTATGTGAATTATAAATAACAGAATTCTTCCTGGTCCACCATGAGCACGTGTTTTGTGACATCATACTTGTATTTACTCCAATATACAGTTCACTCTATTTTACCCTTAGAAGGATATAGAACTGAAACTCCCATTAAATGTAAAAAAAATAGTAGTTTGGGGAGAGAGAGAGAGAGAGAGAGAGAGAGAGAGAGAGAGAAAGAGGGAGAAAGAAATGGAGGTTAACATCCACTCGACACAAACTAGGTCATTTCGGGAGTAACACATGGTTCAAACCCATTTCAATAATTCACTTGCGCGTAGGGGTCTTTAGCAGTGGGAGGAAATCGGAGGACCTGGAGAAAACCCACGAGGTTGGACAGGCGACCCTACTCCTTGTCACATGCAACCGGGGAATCGAAACCACGCCGGTTAACAGCGCGCACGTGCTAACCGTTCGGCCATCCAACCCTGCAGTAGTTTGGGGACTGGTGTATCTAAATGTATATGCCGCTCCCCTCTGTGACTTTAGGGAGTAAATATCATCCTATCATTCTGGAATTTGTTTTGAAGACCGGATAAGAGGGTCTATAGAGGCATGGGTCTAATCTTATTTCTGAAGCAAAGCTGATAATGCTCTTAACCATTGCTTTGGTAATCTGCGTTCTAATAAAAAGAATAACAGATTTATCAGTAACTGTAAAATAAGTATAGTAAGTGTAGTTATTTCTGGATACATTCTGATCAACTTTCTCACGTTACAATGGTTGGTTCATGTAGGGCGACCGACTCTCGGGATTGCACTCTGTATGAACAGTTGCTTTAATTACATTATTCCAAAATAAAACAGGAATATCTGTATCACTATAAATAGTTGTACGTCAAACATGGAACTGCATGGTCGTTTATTGTCGTCGCACCCGTCGGTCCGTTTACATTAGTAGTGGGAGAAAGACTCCTATTTAAAGGACAATATTGGTGCCAGTCATTATCACATATTATGTGATAGAGCTGATTAAACACATTCCAAATATAATTTTAACACAGAGATCATTGCTACGATAGCTGAGTAATACAGGTTTCCTGAATCGGAAGTGACGAACGCCAAAGGAAAACACGAGTCATACCTCTATATAACTCATGACTGATGTGACGAATGATAACGGATACGCTGTGGGCGTATGTTTCATTGCCCCGAATCCCATCTTTATATCTTCCTTTCATACATTTGCATTGCAATTTGTAACTCGAGATGTGAATGATTTCCGAACGACTACATCTCTTATTGTAAGTTGAAGATTACAGGATATGTTATAGACTTTAATAGCTGATTAAATATAAGATTAAAGATACATTTAAATAGGTTTAAGCATTCACGAGATTTCAAAATTTAACGATGAAATAGACAATCGAGGGGTAAATCTCGATTGTCAATACCGTTGCTACGATAATGAACGATATAGGCTATATTTTTAGTCATAACTTTGCTCAGAATAAAGTAATTTGAATGCAGTTTTCAATACATGTATATTCATTTTGAATTCTCTATTTTTGAACTACTATAGCAAGAACGCCCAGATCTTTATCTAAATCCTACATAAAGCAACTTTAAGATGATAATTATTATCATTAAATCTTGTAAGAGAAGGTGAGTTCCACAATTTGTTCAGTTAAAGATTATTAAATTTAAAAGGATAGTCCCATTTACTTATCGCTATAGGTAATTTAAGATGGAAATTGTTATCAGATGTTGTAGGGAAAGGTGATATATACAATTCCTTCAGTTAAAGGTTATTAAATTTAAAAGGATAGTACATTTAGTTATCGCTATTGGTTAATAATAAATTAAATATAGGAAATTTAAGATGAAAATTGTTATCAAATCTTGTATGAAAAGGTGAGAAACACAATTTCTTGAGTTAAAGATTATTAAATTTAAAAGGATAGTACACTTAGTTATCGCTATAGGTTAATAGCTGATTACATATAGGAAATTTAAGATGAGAATTATTATTAGATCTTGTAGGAAAAGGGTAAGACATATTAGGTTTAGAATAATAAAATGATATTTTGTACAGGTGATATAAAGCTACCTGTAAACATGGCTGTAATCCAATACCTGTGTATATGTACTCCATATATAATATAACTTACCTTAACGCTTCAGTAATTTTACTACATTTTACCTCTGGCGTCATCATCAATATTCACCTTTCTGACAGTTTATGCAAAATTATCCGAGTAATCGTTTTCATGACATAAAGCCGCGATGGCTCAATAAGTAAAACGTGTTGGCCAAGAAAGTTCATGGGGATTTTACGGCATGGTCCATCCTTGTCAGTTCCTGGCAAGGAACAACGTATAGTCGTTCGGATGGGACAAAAAAACAGGGTCCCGTGTACACATTAGCGTGCACGTAAAAGAACCCTTGCTAGTTGGAATTCGAAATAATAGTAGCCCCAGGCGCCGCTGTCCGGGAAAAATTTCCCTCATAGCACACTGCATGGCGTGTACCTGCCTTCATTAGCCCGGTCGAAGCAGAAAAGTATGACGTTAAACCCCATTTCATTTTATTTCGTTTTCTTGGCAAACGTTGTGGTTAAGATCCATCCGTGATTAGTTCAGGAAATCGTTCTATATTCATTTAACCCTTTAACGCCCAAGAGCGAGAAACAAATTCATTCATCTGTTAAAAAAACATGCTTCTCTTAATGAGCATTTCCTATAGAGATTGCGCTACTCATGATTGAGTTTTGCTAGCTAGGAGAAATTAGATGGGAGAAGAGCAAATATTTGATATCAAATATTGCACTATAACGACAGTTAATTCCAGTATCGGTAGTTTATATAATGTTTGCTTTTACGCGGCTTCCTTTTGGATTTCTGTAGAAATGCATGTCTATGAATCTTTTCTATATTAAAGTACCATCACTCATTCGTACCTTACCCTGCCATTTGAAAAGCTTATATATTATAGTCGAGTGTAGAACGCAACAGATACGTTAAACATACATTATGCAAGAGCTAAATCTGCCAATTGCAGGTCTTTCTTTAGGCCTGAAATGTTATCTAAATTATTAATTAGACATTAATTAACTTATCCACACCATAATCAATTCTCGATGACATCGCTAGCCTGTGATATTTACTGGATTAGGATCTGTTTCCCAACGCTCATTCATGATTAAATCAAGAAATCGATAATCGAGGCTATGTTTTTTATGGTACCGACTTTAGTAATGGTGATCGAGGCTAGGCCCAAAATTCAATCGCTAAATACTCGGTTCAGAAGTGGACCAATCTGACTGAAATTTTCAGCAAATTCCCTTTACATTATCTAGTTTTTAACTATTATAGGGCGAACTACCAGCTCTTTATCTAATCTCCCAAAATGTATCTTTAATTATTGAATCTAACTTGACGTAGTTGTTTAAACCAGAATGACCTGGAAAAAAAGACCAAAACTTGTTTCCTACACCCCAAAAAGCAATAATCAACAAAGACAATGTATTTAAGGAAATGCAAAGATTCCATTCATCTTCGGGGTCTTGTCGATGTTATCACAGTAATACAGTAAAATAAATGTGTTTCTTTCATTATAGCCGTGCCAAAAATAACACGTCTCTTTGTATGTTTAAATAATGAATTGAAATTGTATCTGGTATAACTGATGTATTGATTGTTGAAAGGTTGTTGAATAACAATGAGATCATCCATCATATTTTCGTGATTTCTTTTATATCACGGAAACATAGAAGTGTTGTTCAGATTCAAGATATACCTGGTAGGCTAGGATGGGTAAACCTATTAAACGGGCATTATGCTGCAAGATCTAAGTCTGCCTATTGCAGGTCTTTCTTGAGGCCTTAATGATACATCATGCAAGAGCTAATCTAAATCTGCCCATTGCAGGTCTGTCTTGAGGCCTTAAATGTTACATAAATTATTAATTAGACTTTTAGTACCATGACAAAGCCATAATCAACTCTCAATGCCATCGGATAAGTCCGACATTAAGTAGATTGGAACGGTTCGGCAGATTGAAGCGTGTATGTAGTATTTGAATTGTAAATGCACCGAATTGTATTCTGTATTGATACTGTTAACGTACTACATTTGGATAATGCTGGCGGTTCAGTCGCCGCGTAAATAAACACCCATCAAAACATTTCCATGTTTTAAGCGTGCAGTAATTAAACTGTAAATGCACCGAATTGTATTCTGTATTGATACTGCACGTTAACGTACATTTTCATAATGCTG